CCTCCATTTAGCAGACACATATTAGGCAGTAGTAGAGGGTCAGCTCTCCACTAGGCCACAGTTACAGAAATAAAAAGGAATTCACAGTGAGGTTAATAACCTGGTAAATGCAACTAGTATAATGAGTTCTGGGAAACACCCTCCAGACAGAAGCTTCTTGAGTGCCCACTGTGGGCCAAGTGTTGTGCCACATGCTAGGGACAGAAAGAAGATGCAGGTACATACCTTGTGACCTAAATGTCTCCTGCTGATGAGCTTCTGTGCCAATCCCTGACTTTCCAGGACCCCTACCTCTGTGTCTTGTCGCTGTGTGGGAATGAGCCAAGACTTGGAAAGAGAATCTTTGCCCATTTGGTCCATAAATTAGTGAAAAGGTTTAGGTAGAGAATACTAACTGTCTTGTGTAACTGACTCATCATTACAAAAGAATATCATTAAGAAAGAAAATGGATGAAGGGAAAGAAACCAACAAAGTGGAATCACAAGAAGTGACTTTGTGGGATCCTGTATGTGGCAAACTGGAAGAAATAGTGGGAGACCAGGATTTGCATGGGAGCATGACACAGGAAAGCAAAAAAAAAAAAAAGTTCAGTTTAGTGATTGTGCTTTCCTAGAGGTTTAGAAGGTCTGACAAGTCAAGGGGGAAAAGTTCAGAGAGGATGACCTCTCAGGCTCGACAAAGTTGAGACAGACCTTTCCAACGATAATGTGAATCTTGTATCTAGGACTCTGCTTTGATAACACAGCTCAGCTGTGCAGTTCTCTTCTCCAATGAGGCACTCAGAGTTATAATCATCTTGTTCAGTGATTGGGCACCTGTGTATGAATCCACCCAGTATAGAGAATGTGGTACCCTCCATTCCTGCCATCTGTCAACTGGAACACCCTCATACACACAGATTCTATAATAAAGCCCAATGGGCTCCACCTCTTGGTCCACTGGCCTTGAGGAGTCTCCTCCCACTGAGTGTGGGTGGGACCTGGAAAATCCTCTAACCAATGAAATGTGGCAGTGGTGATGTTGGATCATATAACACCTCACCAGTTTTCTACTATCTGCTCAAATTACAAGCTTTGCTGAGGCCAGCAGCTGCATTAGAAAGAGCAGAAACTGATGTCAGTCTTCTGTCTACATCCAGCAAGACACTGAGGGCCCAGCCCAACCAACAGGGAACTCTCAGTCCTCCCCCTAAGGCAGGCTTTCCATTTCTTGAAGACAGACATCCTGTTTTCTCTTTACAATGTGAATGTCAAGTTCTTTGCTCTCCCTGCATCTGGGAGGCCCCATGAGTGAGGAAAGGCAGGATAAGAGGAAGTACCTTAAGGAGAGTGAGGCTAGACTTGGCCTCACCTCTCACCTTGGAGAGCAGGTATCACCAGGAGGTCACTTAGAAACAGAGAAGACAGAGACAGCAGGGATTAGAAGGACATGAATGGCCACCCCAGTGTCTCTCAGGCCTGCACAGGGCTGTGCTTTGGGGCTGTGAATAGAACAGTGATGAAGAAACTCTGCCCCAACCCCCCATAGCTGGTCTTTCCCCCTCAGCATTGTGGACAGCCCACCTCACAGTCCAGATGCACACACCGTGGACTCTGTACAGCTTAAGTGTGACCCTCTCTCCCACCATCTGCAGCAAATGAACTCCATCAGCCAATGTAGAACCAACTCTTCTGTCACTTCAAACCCCATGGACTTACTTATAGGGACTGTGAGAAATGCATACCCTTCACAAGACTCAGTGCTGGAGGAGGAGAAGCTGTCAGAGCCACAGAATGAGGTGACTCTTAATGCAGCAGGTGAACAGTTCCAGGAATGAAAAACAAAACAAAACAAAACAAAATAAAACAAAACAAAAAACGGTGGGCTTTTGGGCTCAGGAGTCTGACTGTTTTGTTAGAATCATCGCTCAGTGAACTGAGTCACTTAACTTCTAAGTGATCTTGATTTCTTTGCCTGTAAATTGGAATTGATAGCTTTCCCTGTCTCATGGGACTATTATGAGGTTGAAATGATTCAATTCATGCAAATCCCTTAAACCAGAACTCTGGGGAGGAAGAGAGTCCCACCAATGTAGCTACTGTTTTCTTCCTCCTACATGACAAGTACCAGTTCTTCCTGTCACTCATCAGCCTGAGCCCCTCTCACTTCCTGCAGATGAAGAGCTGTTCTGTCACGTATATCCCATGGGGTGGTGGTGAGGCAACCATGAAATGGCCAGTGTGGAGGTACAGTTGAGGAATCCTCAGAGCAATGGGTGCTGTCTCTCTCTCTCTCTCTCTCTCTCTCTCTCTCTCTCCCATATATATGTTCAATTATACACATCTATACAAACCTCCATACACAAATACCCATACACATTTCTATGGGATTGTGAACCCACCCAGAGAGACAGACACACAATCACATAACGCACTCCCTTCACATTTGCCATTTCAACTGGGGTCTGGCTGACACCCACTTCATCTTTTTAAAAATCTTGAGGGAGAAAAACCAGAGAATATTTGTCTCACTAGAAAGAATCCCACTCCCTAGGGACTCTGGTACTTTCTGGATCTCAGCATGCCTGCTCCTGGAGCTCTCCTAAGTGAGTGGGAGATGTGACCTTAGATTGAGATTCTGGAATCCAGCGGCAGCCATGTGCACTGCCCCCCTGGTATTGGGACTCTGGGCGTCCAGCAGGTCTTCATTCTCTCACCTTCTTCTAACTGCTCTCCCACCCTGGTGTGCCCCCCACCCCGCACCCCAGGCTTTGCTACACAGAAGGATGTTGCCACATTACCTTCAGAATGAACAGGACACTGAGATTAGGAAGTTCTAGATCAGAAGGAAGAAACCTGGACCTCTTCCCCACCCGAGTTCTTGTTGTTCTAGAGCACACCTCCAGCAACTCTACTTCCGACCATCAGAACTGCTGCTCAAACAACCCCAGTGATGAGAGCTCCAAGGAGAACCTGGTCAGCAGATGCCCTCTCGATGAGCATAGTGGCTGGGAAAATGGATCTGAGGAGTAAAGGAAACGTGAGGGGTGTCTCTGTGCCTGGACTCTGCTGCAAGTCTCTAGAAGGGCTCCTGTTTCCCTGATATGTGGCTCCACTCCTCATCCCTCCCAAATCCTGTCTCATGGTGATGGGCTTACGCAGTCCTTCATGTTACACATGGCATGTGAATCTGTGCTCCTCTCAAGAAGACAGCACAGTGGCCAAGCACTTCTGGATGGTTCCATCCTCTTCTGCCTGGTCTCCACAAGCTTCTTGTCCTGGGTCTGGTGCTCCCTGGCACACTGCTAGGTCAGGGTGAGATGTACGGGGCAGAAGCCCAGGGCACACCACACCCCAGGGTGACCTTACAGTCAGAGAGGTGGTGGTGGGTCACATGGTTCTGGTAGGGTCTGTGGTAGACAAAACAGGGAGGGCTAAGTCAAGGTCTTCTAAAGCATCTACTACAAACCATGATGCCTACTGGCCTCCCATCTGTGCCAGGATAGCGGGCAATGATGAGACGACCACAGATGGCAGAGGTCCGTGTCCAAACTCAGGTGGTTGTCAATGTCCTAGCCATCCTGCCACCGCCCACCGTCCTGTGTCCTCCTGGAGCCCCCAGTCATGGTGAACAGCAGGGTTGGGGGCCTGCCCAATCCTCTCCAGGACTAGGCAGTGTCAGTCAGGGCAGAGCATGCCGGCAGAGGCCCTCCAGCTTTTGTCCCTGCACCACCCCACCGGGCTGCTCTGCAGGGAACATTCACCCTGTAGACTATGATATTGTGATATAATAGAAGGATATATGTTGGTCCTCCGACAGTTCCTGCACACAGCTCATAAAATGTTTGTCATTTCCTACATGATGAGAATCATAGGAGCATCTCTTTTTAGATTTGTTCCCACTTACTGAGAAAGCTTTACAAAAGATCCTGGTCCATTACTTACACACAGTACCCAACTTCACTGACCAATGTCTCTCTCCTCCTGTGCTGTGAGCCCTTAGAAGGCAGGACTCTCGGTGCCTGTAACCAAACCATTTGGCAAACTGTGGAATTCAAGCTTCTGTATGGATCTCGTGGTAAAATCTGAGCAGCCTCCCTCTTCAGCTTTAGTTGAGCCTCTCGCTGATTTATGCCGTGAATCCACATGCAAATCTCTTCCCTGTTTCATATGCTAAATTCTCATGACATTTACTAGAAATTATTAAACTATAACCTATGCCCTGAAATCACTCTGTCCGCTTTCACCCCACACCTTGCCCACCCTAACCTCTCCCTGCTTGGAACCCCACCCCTCTCCCATCAACCCAAATCATACACACACACATCAGACTCTACACAAAGTTCCACGTCATTCATGACACTTTCCCTTCTCACTGGGGTGTCTGGCCTATCGACTCTGTGACCATTTCTCTACTTTTCATTTGACATCTAAGGAGGTACCTGTCTTCAGTATCTCAGTGTGTCTCACAAGCTCAATAATGTGATTGCAGAAGTATGGCTGCTTCCCCATCTTAATTATAAGCTCTATGAGGTCAAACAGTAGGTCATCCTTTCTGGTGCCCAACCTACAGTGACCTAAAGAAGTGTCCCTGGCCCACTGAGTCGGCTTAGTCAGTTAGCTAATTAATCAATGATACAAAGACCCTGCCCCTCTGACCAGACTGTAACCACCTTCACTCTCCAGTGACAGCTTGTGCACACCTGCCTGCCCCGGCTGCCACTAGGGGCATTCCTGACAAGAGGGTCTCGGGTCCCTGGGGGTTGGGCTGATGTCGTCTGCAAGGCGCCTTCTGCTTTCTTCCCGGCACCAACTTGCCTGCTTTCATGGGTGCTCTTTGCTCAGATGTGCTCCGTGGTTTGGTTGTAGTATCGCTGCACATTTCTCAGATTTAAGTGCTTACTCTTCCTCTGGCCTGTGAAGAACTTGGTCTTGCCGTCAAAATGCCTTGGCTCCTCCATCAACCCCTGGACTCAAGACTTTGTCTTCATCTTCTCACTGTCATGGCAGATGAAGGGTTGGTCACCCATGGAGCCCAAGGCACTAAATGCAGGGACTCCTGGAGGTGACTGAGACACAGCTGAGGAGAAATACTGAACACAGTGCATTCCTGAAGCAGGAACCAGTGCGTTCAGAGGAAGCTCCAGTACTTACTGAGGACCTAGTTATCCATGTGTGGGGAAGGGTTGTGAGCATGTGTGCCTGTGTGTTGTGTAATAAGAGAGTAGGGCACACAACATAAAAGAATAGTAAGGCAATTACATAACACTCTTCCCTGACCCCCTCTCCTCACACAAGTGATTGTGATATTCAAATCTCACACCCATTGTGCACTGGTATCATTTAGAGAACTAAAAAGAAACCTTCCTCCATATCTGAAAAGTGCCATGAAGAACCTGATCTTGAGCAGGGCTTGAAGATGTGGAGGCATCAGGAGGAGTGGGGGACAGTTAGAAATGTTCTCATGGCTCAGAGTGAGGTGTGAGGAGCCTGGAATGGGACCCTCCCAGGTCCCCCGTGTGATCTTGTAGCATCTCAACCCCTGCTGGTCCCACCGCTCTCCTGACCAAGGTCCCCTTCCTTCACATCACCCTCCCTGTCACTGTGGAAAAGGCACTGGCCTCAGAGTCAGGGGCTTCCGGCCCTCCCACACCCTCTGTTTCCTGGGAAACCCACTCCCCTCTGTGGCCAAAGCTTCTTTATCTCTAGAACAAAGCCATGAGGCTGGAAGGCCCAGGGCCTCCCAGCTCTGCTATGTGACAATTGTAAGGCCCTGGAAGTCACCCAGGATCCAGGTGATGAGTGTGAAGGAGGAAGTACAGGTGGAGGGAGGGATGCCCCGAGAGAAGGCACAGCCTTCAGCTCTTCTTGTCCCAGAGTCCCTGCTCCTGTTCTGTCCTCAAACTCATCCATCCCACCCCAGGACTTTTGATCTCTCCTTCTTCCCTCATGTAGCACACTCTCCCCACCTCCCTGCCACAACCTTTGGTCTGGCCTCCCTCTGGTGTCTGCTGACGTTACTTCCTCAGGGACAGTTTGCCGCACCCCCTTCCAGCTGCACCCCATGGAAGGTGAGTAGCTCCTGCTCACGTGCAGCCATGGCCAGTGAGCATCACATGATTGCATATTTACCACCTACCACCACCAACTTCCCATGACAATGGTGAGTTTTCTTTTTTGTAGGTCCCTATCCTTCGTGCCCCTCACAGTACTGTGTTAGTCAGGGTGCCCAGAGAAACAGACACAATAACATATGTGCATCAAGAGAGAGGTGGGTGTATTTTAAGGAAGCAGCTCATGGGATTGGGGTGGGGCCGGAGGTCCAAAATATGCAGGGCAGGCGGGGGGGCGGGGGCTGGGTGTGCTAGAAGAGCTGATGCGGCAGACGTGATCCAAAGGCAGTTTGGACAAGGACCTGGGTTGTATTTCTTCCCTCTGAGATTAGGAGAGTCTTCAATTTATCATTACCCTCATGTTGCACAACTTTTCCTTTGTTTTCAGTGTCAGTCTGCCACAACTGTTGTGGAAATAATAGATACAGATTCAAGAACATAAATACAATACTAAGAATAAACAGAATGATGTGACAAAGCTTCAGTGCGTTTTAACATTGTTTGAAATATACTAATCGTGAATCTTCTGGGTCTGAGAGGGAACAGGGAGACATAACACCAGCAATGCCTTGTCACAGAGCATCTAATACTGTACAAATGTTATAACGCTTGGGAATGGCTTCCAGACTGTGTATGATTTAGTTCAAAGAAAACACTGTTGACATTTCTAAAATTAAAACAAAATCCCTGCTACTTTTGTCAAAACTCACTGATGTCTTACTCTTGCTAACCATGTAAATATTACATGCAAATAATGCTCCAAAGCTGTGTGAATGTGATCGTGCTAAGCACATGCTGTCAGTGCTCAGAATGCAATGAACAATTAGCAATAATCAGGAAGAAAAGTGTGAAGAACATTATAAATTACCTTACACAGCAAGTTATTGGATTAGTAAAACTTTGTGTAATAACCCTTACAGGGCTGATAAGAGCAACCAACATGGGAAAAGTGCCATCAGAAGTGACACTATCTACTGTGCAGTGAAGCAGAGCATTTTACATGGTGAACGAAGGTTGTGACCGGACTGTGAGCAGCACATGTCCCTGTGGTCCCTGTCACTGTGCTACTGGCTGCAAACCGTGTGTCTGCCAGAATAAGATAAGTATTTGGACAACTTAGAAACCAAGCAATAAATCATTATCAGTGTCGTTTCAACTATGTCATGAGAATGTGTTTTCATCACTTAAATACTAATTGAAGACATGTAAGAAGGAGGGTTTTGTTGATCTGAGAATCCAGTGCATCAAAGGTAGTCATCGGTGCTCAAACAAGATGTGACACGGTTACACGTGTACACATGGTGCCGGTGTGGCCACAAAGTTCAGGGTCTCACACAAAGTTTTAGAGAAATTTCTGGATATTCTAACTTGGTACTGCGTAAGTCATGTATTCAGTGATTTCAGGATGATACAGTGAAATGTGAATTCAAATAAATCACTTTAAATATTTACTTCAGGACATTTTGTATTCACATGTATTATATACAGTAAATGAAGATCTGAGTTGGTTGCCAGAGGGGAGGGTGTGGGGGTTGGGACAGCGGGTGAGGGGGGGCGGGAACACAGGCTCCAGTTAGGGAATGAAGAAGTGACTGAATAGAAGGCACAGCATGAGGAACAGTCACTGATACTGTAACAGGATGTGTCGGGGCAGCTACACCTGTGGTGGAGAGAGCACAATGTGTGAACTTGTCAAAGGTTACCTTGTACACCTGGAACCAATGTAACATCATGTGTCAACTCTACTCAAATTTTAAAAACTATTTAAAATGACTCTATTACAATTTTGGTAGCTTTTTGACTTTTTAAAAAGTGTTTATTTATTTTGAGAGAGAATCTTAAGCAGGCTCCATGCTCAGCACAGAGCCAGAATTGGGGCTCGATCCCACGACCCTGAGATCACGACACGACCGAAATCAAGAGTCCGATGCTTAAACGACTGAGTCACCAGGGGCCCCTGTTTTGGCATTATTTTAACGTTTACTTATTTTAAGACAGAGAGAGAGACAGAGTGCTAGCAGGCGAGGGGCAGAGAGAGAGGGAGACACTGAGTCCAAAGCAAGCTCTAGATTCTGAGCTGTGAGCACAGAGCCCATAGGGGGCTCGAACTCAGGAACTGCGAGATCATGACCTGAGCTGAAGTCAGACACTTAACCGACTGAGCCACCCAGGTGCCACCCCAAAATACTTTCAAATCTCAACAACTAACTTTTTATAATAGTTTAAGAAATAAAATAGACTATAACTTACATCATTTGTGAGCAGTTTACTAATACATGGTTTATTTAGAACATAGACACAGTATAACTTACATCTTTTTATTTATACACTGTATTATTGTACTGGTGCTCAAATGTTTTTCAATAATATCCTTGTCTAACATATAGTTTGCTGGCAGTATTGTTGACTCACTGAATCTGACATAAGAAATAAATGGAGATGACAAGGTGGACACGTGGGACAACTCAGTGAAGTGTTCAGGGAATTCAGAGTTTGTAATCCGGACTGTTAGCAGGGATGTTTAGAACCAGAAAGAATACACACACGCAGGAACATAATAGCAGCAGTCCCCTGACTTTCTCATGCTCACCTTCCCTGTGTTTGAACCCTGCTGACCCATCCACATGGGCATCTCTATGAGATCACAAGACTCGGAACACAGCACAATGGTACTTCTCTCTGAATTCACGAAGCCAGGACCTTGTTGGTTTCTTTGGTGGCCCCCACTCGCTGTGCTGTAGGACTGCACACATGAGGGCAGGATTCATGAAAATCTAAGTTCCCCCAGCAGCTCCCAATGGAGGGAAGGGTGGCTGGGGATTCCCGAGTAACTGACTAACCAGGGCTGACTCAGGGTTACCAGGTCTGAACCAGTTAGGAAAGGAATCACTTCCTGACTGTCTGTGGGGGATAAAGAAACTTTCATTTTCAGGTTGAATAGTCTGGACTGGCTCCCACATAGGAAGGGAGAGTGAGGGCAGAGCACTCTCCCAAAGAGGGGCAGACAGGGGCGCCACCCATTCCCACAGCCCAGCCGGCCTGCAGTCCTTGCAGGAGCCCCCTGGCCCCCAGAATGCGCTCCTCTCCCTGCTGGCCCCACCCTGCTTGAAAGAGGTGAGGAGGATGGTGGGGGCAGGAGGAGAGGGCACCCGGGCTGACCTGCCCCCAGGGCTCAGCATGCACACAGGCAACACCAATCACTCCCTGAACCTCTAACCCTCTAGGGAGCGAGGGGGTGGGGCATGTCTGCTGCAGTTCCCTGAAGACAGTTTAAAGTCAGAGCTGGAAGAGGATTGTTTGCTTGTGCTTTCGGGTCCCCATCTCTCCTGGGCTGCACACTCTGTGGCAGCAGGTGGAGGATCCCAGACAAATGCCAGGATTTTCTTTCACCCTCCTCCCTCCCATCTTCACTGTGTGCTGTGTTTGGGATAATTCCCTGGTATGATGTCTGCAGGGGAAAGTGCAGATGGCAGTGGCTTGGATCTCGACCACGAATCTGCACGCAGCCCCTGAGGAGACAGAGGAGCATGGAGGGGACTGAACAGGTCATGTTGCTCAGTGCACTTGAGAAAGCAGAAAACCACGTGCATTTGTCGCCTCTCACCCCCATACATCTCCTCTTCCGTTTTCCCTCCAACCCTCCAGAGCAACAGCACCCTTAATGATCTGTCCCATGGAGCTGGGGGAGGGCGGGGGCTCAGGGGACAGTGGCCTTCCTGCACTGTTCCCTCTGTGGTTCCCAGTTAGAGCCACAGCCATCCTTCCATCCTGGCTCACAGCCGAATGCAGCAGACGTAGGCTGCTGTCCCATGAGGTAGAAGGACTGCAGCTGAGGGGCTGGCTTTTTTCCCATTTTAAAATTCTTTCCTGTTGTTGCTGCAGGATGTTGTACATACAGAAACAGGAAATGGGAGAAGGAAAGAGTTGACTTGGATTCTCAGAAGGCAAAGACAAATGAACACAAAATAAGAAACCAACAAACAGGAATTTACACGTTACGGAGTTTAAACCATTCATAACTCTGCGAAGTCAGTGCCATATTACTGTCACAGTGTCACTATGCAATGTGAGGACAGTGGGTAGAAGTGCCAGATGACAAGGCTGGTGGAACCCAAGCCTGTGACAGGCACCTCAGGGCTCCATCTCCTGGGGCAATTTCAGTGAGGGAGGGGCTCAGAGGGCCTGCGCTTGACCCCTCATGATGCCACAGGTCCCTGTACAACGAAGGCACCACAGAGTGGGACCCTTTCAGTGATGGAGGAGCACAACCTAATCCTACTACGGAAGCGCGTTCCTGTGTGATGTCTGATTTGAAAACAAAAATAAAACAAACCTTATGATGATGCCCAATTCTGTCTCCCTGAAGCTTCTATAGAAGTGGATGATTTCTGAGGCACCTGATGTCTCAGTCCATAGAGCACATGACTCTTGATCTTGGGGTTGTGAATTCAAGTCCCACGCTGGATGTAGATTTACAGAAAAAAATACAATAATTTAGAAATGGCCAATTTCTGGGGTGACTGGGTGTCTCATTCAGTTTAGCATCCAACTCTGGATTTCAGCTCAAGTCACGATCTCACAATTTGAGAGATTGAGTCCCATATCAGGCTCTGAGCCAACAGGAAGGAGTCAGCTTAGGATTCTCTCTCTCTCTCTCTCTCTCTCTCACTCTCTCTCTCTCTCTCTCAAAAAATAAATAAATAAATAATCATTAGAAAGAACTGTTAAAGAAAAGAAATGACCACTTTCTGACCCCTATAAGTCAAAGAGAATAAGTGTAAGTCTTCACATGACACCCTTCAAATACTTTAACTCATGTCACAGACAAGGTATATCGCATCAATATAAAAAAAAATAAACAAAAGTGGGCTGCTTTCAGTAGGAGGGTGGATGCAATTATTCCAGCCCAACATTACTGGAAGGGTGAGGTTCTACCTAAGTCTTTTTGATGAGGCTGATTAATTGATTAACTCTGATGATACATATTTGGGGCCTGATCTCTGATGGGCACTGAGGATACAGCAGTGAGCAGGTAAAACAGGCTTGTGTGTTTATATATTAAATATTCAGCCTGAAGAGACAGACATTTAGATCATGGAGCAGGGACCCCATCCTGGGAGCAGCTCAGGACATCCTCCCTGAGCAGGTGGCATCAACCTGAGCCCCCAGGACGAACAGGAGCTGACACGGGAGGAATGGCTCACTAGGGGAGCAGCTGGGGAGAAGTCCTGGCTGGTGGCCGGTGTGGCAGGCTCTAGGGTCTGACCAAGTGCAGGGAAGCCGCCGGCGGCTGCAGCCTGGAGCTGAGGAGTGGGAGCCTGGACCCGGCCCACCTGGATCCCAGGATGTCCTCCACCGGCCACTTAGCTTGGGTTGAACAAGTTCCTCACCCAGGGACGCGTCAACCTCCTCCCTGTACCACAGCTGATGCTCTAGGGATGAGGTGACACCTGTGTAGTGCTTGGAACAGTGTCTGGCATTGGCTGATGCTCGAGTACTGTTTGCTTTCATGGCTGGAGGGAAACAAGGTGGAGGGAGGGGAGGCTGAGGACAGAGGCTGGGCCCTGGAGCCCTCCCTGCCTGGTGTGGGAAACACAGTGAGGGTGAAAGTCCATGTGGAGGAAGGCTACTCGGGTGCAGTGTAGGGAAGAGATGGAGAGGAAGAGAGGATATGCGGGGACCTGTCAGGAGACCACTGCGGGGGCCACACTAGTGGCACATGTCAGCCCTGTGTCTCCTAAACCACCCCTGTGCCATCTCTACTCCTTTTCACACTCCTCACCTCATCGTCCTCCCATCACAGGTCAGCCTTAGGTGAGAAGAATTATTGACCACAATTGGGCAGCAGTCATCGTGACCGAGCCAACTATATGGAACCTTCTGGAAGAGGTGACCTGTAGTGTCACCTGGTGAACTGGAAGGACCCTGGGAGCATCCTTTGTGGCCACAGCTTCTCCAGGCCCACATCACCACGTGCTGTGTCACTCTCGGAGCCACCAAGGAGCCATGGGCTGTCCATCCTGAACAAAGCCATTTCAGGAGGGGACATCAGGCCCGACTGGACACTTGCCAGTGTGGTGTCAGCCTCCTCACCCTGGAGCCCAGGAGTGGGAATCCAGCACAGGAAGTTTTCTCACCAAGCCCACCCACACCCCTCTGCCCAATGCACAGCAAAGCCAATGACTGAGACCCCAGGGTGCAGCAAGGAAAGGGTTTATTTGAGAAGCAGCCTAATGAGAGGTAGGA